CCCCAAAACCCCAAAACCCCAAAACCCCAAAACCCCAGTTAAATATCATAAGTTGAATTTACTTATGTAATCTGCAATCAGTGGAGGTTCCTCTCGATTAAGTTCATATTCTTATCTACCCAATTCTCACTGTACTTTCTTAATGACATACTGTTCGATGCGGTTCTTTTGATTTTACAAAGAGGGTTCTGCACCTTCTGGTTTACCTTAAAACTTCCAACTTGAAGTTCCTGTACGAGTTAAGATTTTTACAGATTTAATGAAACTAGATCAATTGAAAGAGATAAAGGAGATGTCAGTTGAAATATAAGAAGGTTTGCACACTTTTCATCCTTCCATTAGATATATCATTTTTCTGGATTTTATTAAGCTAGGATTTTTAATGGGCTTTAGAATTAAATAACATATTTTTATGTGAACAAAGCATTGGGTGTTAATAAGGTATGTTTTGAGAGAGGCTTAAATGCTGTCTAAAGCATACAGAAAATGTCGAATAGAAACCAAATTTTGTATATTAAATGGGTTTAAGGTGTAAAATTGTCATACCAGTTTTGATTTTGGAGAAGCTGAAAATTCTATTCTCTGTGCTATAGACTTTCTTGAGTTCTTTAGTGCTACTAAATATGAAGAATGTCCTTTACAGATATTCACACCTTTCATTCTCTGCATGGATAGAAGCCTAAAATATTCTGTAGATTGATCTTCCTGGAGAGATTTCTTCCCCTCTCTTGCCAAGCTTTTACTGTGGAGCTCTGCTCTTCTTGTGGTATTAAGGATTTTATTAATTTTCTTGGAAGTTTTGGATTTCTTAGCCTTACTAAGCCCATGACCTACTTATTAAGCATCAGATCTTACTTGAAATCTTTATTGAAATTCCATCAATATTCTTGATCGAGGACTTGAGGATAGTTCTCTTTTGTTTTTCTTTCTAAGAAATGTTTAAAAACCCTACTTTTGACATGAATTTATTTGTATTCGTTCCCATCACAGGTTCGACACTGTGAGTCATTCCAGATGCTTGTCTATCCGATTCATTCAATAGATTCGAGGAGCATCTAAAAATATTAGAAATTTCAGATTATAGGATGAATCTAAAGAAACACAAATTGTTGAAATGGTGCTTGGGATTCAGTACGAAAGAAAAGATCGAGTAATCTTAAATCTTCTATTAAGCAAACTTAGAGGAGCTCTATCTCCTGATCTTTGAAGTGTTTACTAATCTTAGTCATTAATACAATCCTCATGACATTCTACATCTGGTTTTCAAATGGTACATCGACCACGATAAGAAATGATTTACTCTTTTTGGCTCATTCTTTTCTTAGTACTCTTCACACTATCAAGATCTACAGAAAATTTCATATCAGTAGAGAAATTGGTAGGAGAATCATTCCACAGAGCAGGCTTCTCTCTTCTCATATTATGAGTCTTTGGAATATTTGAGTACGAGTGATTATAGATACATGGAAAGCTATCATTATAGCAATTTCCAGAGCTCTTATTAGCAATCTTCTTGCCTCTAGGTTCTTGAGAGCTCATTATAGAGTATTTTGACCTCATAAATCTCAAAATCTGATTAGTTTTCGCCTCTACAAATTACAAAAAGTTACTTTTCGGAGAAACCTTCTTTGGGGACCGTATAGTTTTTGATAAGTCCTTAGTAGACACTCTCATAGGGCTACATAAAAGCTTAAAAAAAGGCGCTGAATAAAAAACTCTTAAGGTACATTGCATAAATTAGGTGGAATGACTCAGGTAAATGTAAAAATCTGGATAGAATAATGCATCTGAGTAACAATTGAAAGAACATAAGGGGATTTTATTTAATGTCTTCCTTACTAGTCTCTTAACGACTGGACAACAATATCATTGCTCAAAGGTTGATCCTTGCTACAAGTTTGATAAATAGTCGTTTCTTTGGATTGTATAGTATCATTTACCACTCCCACACTTTGGTCTCAGTGCTCTGTTTTCATAGTTGCCATATCTATATCGTCAATATATCAACTCAGAAATGAATGATTCGAAATAGGCATTTCTGTGTTTTATGGAATACAACTTGTGCACAAGAAGGGGTAGATTTCCTCATATCAAAAATTGCGTAAATTTTATTTTAAATAACCTCAATTACCAATTGTTAACTTCTCTGGCTTCTTGTAAGCCACTCTTCTCCTAAATAGCAGCAGTCAGAGTCTTTCAAAAGTGCTTGATCACTTACAAAGTTTTGTTGAAGGGAACTTCGCTGATTATTAATGATTCGGTAGGACTTTCCATACTTTGAAATAAAAGGAATATATAATAATCTCAATCAGATGCTATTTTTAGGGGTTTTGGGGTTTTGGGGTTTTGGGG